GGGGGGTGAAGGGGGTTGAGATCCACAGCCACACAGCGTTGTCTCTGTACTAGTTTTATGCAGAAACAGGCAGAAGAGGGGACGCCCCCCCCCCCTCCAAAAAAAAAAACCCCGGAAAACCCCTACCTGGTATTGGAGTGAGCAAGCATAAACAGAAGGCTGTATTTTTTTTTAAAGAGACCGTTTTCTATTTTTAAAAATGAGAACTAAATAAATGTGAGTGTTTTTAAACCATTATTGAAACAAATTAAATTATTTAAGAGGCCGGATTCAGCATTGTCTGCCAGGACAAACCCGGGCTGAGAGAGAGATACAATGTCTCTGCAGAAAGATTGAGATACTCGATAAAAAATACTCCCCGCTCGGAAATCGAACTCACGTCTCCGGTGTGCGACGGAGAAACGCCTAAACCGCTACACCTCAGAAACCGGTAGAGAAAGATTTAGGAATGAGTAAGTAAATAAGTAAGTAAGTTAGGCTATTCAATGGTTAAGGCCTTTGGCCCAGATCACATCTTATAAAACACTCATTTGTTAAATAAAGTTTACTGTAATGAAAAGGTACAGGTTGTGCATATACTATCTCTTATCATGGTTCAAACGTTGCATATTTCTGTAAAGATTTAGGAATTATAAAAGTAAGTTTTAAAGTGCACAGTGAAAAGAGAATATTACGTTTATCTTTTTTTTCTTTTGAGGTGTGTGAGTATTGAAAGTAAACGTGCAGGGGAAATGGCGGAGTTGGGTTGTGGGGTGTATTTGAGGGGAGGGGGTGGTGAGAGCGAGGTGGGGGGGCGCGGCGGGGAGGAGATTTATCAATATCATGTTGTTATGAAAAGGAAGAGAGGAAAGGTGTGGACTTGGTGTTTCAGGGGTCAATTATTGTAAGAAGGAATCGATACACATCAATGTAATTATGCTTAGAAGGGGGTGGAGGAGTGGTTATGGTGAGGTTAGAGGACGGGGGGGGGGGATGTGGATAGAGAGAAAGTGAATTAAAGAGCTGGAAGAGAGAAAAAAGTCCTGAGGAGGAAATGAAAAGCTTAGAGATTTCATGGAGACAGAGATGAAGGGGGACAGGTGGGAGAAGGGATTTATATAAAAGGAGAGAGAGAGAGGGAGAAAGAGGTGGGAGGGAAAGAGAGAGAGAGAGAGAGAGAGAGAGAGAGAGAGAGAGAGAGAGAGAGAAATAAAGGTGATTATAGAGGAAATGACTCAGGCTAGGGCGAAGCGACATAGTAACTGTTTATAAAATAGGGGATCAAGTTGTTACCGTTCAATAAAAGCATAATTGCTCAAGTACTTTCGGCATGCTTTGTTAAATAAGACACCCAATGGCATGGGAAAATGTCGTGGGGCTCTCACATCAGCCGGGGTTTGCAACGCAGGTAGATAGATAGATAGATAGATAGATAGATAGATAGATAGATAGATAGATAGATAG